ATTACCATGAGTCAATATTTTGGCTATTCTACCCACCTCTGGGAATGTATTTAAGTTTGTGACAAAATAGGTGACATATGAGGACAAGTGTGTGTGTGTTAAAAGTGTGTTAAGGTAGTACCGTGCACGACCAGAGAGGCGCTTCAAACTTTTTGGGACGGAGTGTTTCGGCCCCGACACACATTTTCACTATTTGTAGACATTTTGGGACATGCTTGATTTTTGGTGTGGAGCTTGTTCTGGGCCTCTACAACACTGTAGTATGCATGGAAAAATGGGGACCTGAAAAAAGTCCCCACATTTCCTCAGGTCCTGATATTGAAGGTGTGTTATCATACAAAAGTCCTCATATGTCCACAAAACAAACGCACACACACACACACACACACACACACACACACACTATGATTATTGCACCATGTACAGTGTGTGACCTTCTCAAAACATCAGAAATGTTTTTCTTATTTTTGGGGGGGGTCTGTGGGGAGGTGGGGTTTAGGGCTGGGCATTTTGGATTGTTTTTAACTAAACTGTAAAGCACTTTGTGTTGCATTGTTTGTATGAAAAGAGCTTTATAAATAACATTTGATTGATTGATTGATTTATTATTGTTGTTGTAACAAATGGCCGAAGAAATAATAATCCAATCATAGACTGTATATATTTACGGACAGAGTGACGCCTATCTCCTAATGGCCCAAAAATAGTGCTCTACTGGAGCTATCCAAAATGGCAGCGAGTGGTCCCGCCCACAAGAAAATTGTGAAAAAACGCATCTGCGCATACGTCAGCCGGCGCAGCTCCATTCATTTGAACGAGAGACTTCAAAAATTCACAGCAAGTAAACTAGAGTGGACCAAAAAAAAACACCCCCCTCAGCATTGACACACATGTGGAACGGAACTTTGGGCCAAGAGCCAACTTTTGGACCATCCTGTAAAGACTTTTTTGAGAGATTAGCTAACGCTATATGTTAGCATTGCCTAATTCTTATATTAGGCAATGCCACCCCGGGCCAATGGGGGGTCCACCCCCATTGGCCCGGGGTGGTATTGCAGCATGTCAGCGCACGTCATTTTGGCCAATGACGTAACAATATTGTAGTAATTAATTGATTTTATCGATTTACGCACTAGGGGTGGGATTTAAAAAGTATTTACTTCTTCCCACTCTCTTTCGAACTTTCTTGTTGTCATATTTTTGTATTTTATTGAATTTTTTGTGATTTTGTATTGGTTCTCAATATTTTATATCATATTATTGTTTTGTTATCTGTTTTCAGATGAGCATAGAAGTGCGTGTACAAAGAAGCTTTTTGTTATTGTTTATGAACTGCCATGACACTGGATTTGACAACAAAGTTTGAAATAAAAAGATTGATTGATCGATTAAATCCAACATGGCAGAGTTATGGGAAAAATGCTGCTTAACTTTAAAACTAGAAGATGTATAATCGTATTGCACATTTCCATTAAGCCTGTGCCTGCAGCAGCAGCAGCATGTGAGGGCAGGACACGAGGCCAGCTCTAAATGAGATCCATGTTTGTTCAATATTGACACAAACAAACAATGTGGGCAAATACCAGTTGTACATCGCACCATGTGACCTGCTGCAAACCAGCTTCCACTGAACTGGAGGAGACGACAACTTGTTCTGAGCCTCAAATCCAACAACTCTAAAGACAACAATGGTGTAGCTTGATAAGAGTTAAAAATATGTTGTCAAAGAATATTTTTAAACATAATTTATCCTAACCCGTTATTTGTAAAGTGAATATAAAGGATAGCAGTATAGCAGGATAAATGCTTAAAAAAAACATTATTTTTAGCTTAATAAAAAAGCATACACATCAACTCCTGTGCAACAACATATTTACTTATCTGTAATAAGGTTAACTCAAAATATTTGGTTTCATATCAGAAGAATATATCTAAATACATCTGTTGTAGATTTTTGGTTCAACTCTTAGTAGTGATGATCCTACTGCACATGTGAGCAGCTCGAGGCTCTGGGCTAAAGTGACTCAGTAACGTCAGAGTGGATCCGTGTGGTCCTACATGGCACATCAGCAGTGTTCCTCAGTCTCCATTGTTCATTGTACAGTTTGACAGCAGCAGGGAGGAAAGACGGAAACCTCTCCTTCACACAGCGAGGGTGGCTCAGTCTGTCACTGAAGCTACACTTTAAGGCTGAGCAGTAAATAAATCGGGTTATGTCTCATTTGAGCAGGTCCGTTTGTTATTAGTACGATAACATTTAGTTCACATTAAGTTATATTTCATGGACTCTGTTATGTGCTTTGTCCCTCACATGTCTCATATTAGTTTCACAAGTATATAAATGAATAAAAACTTTGGAACGATATTCTAATTTATATAATTTACCCATATGCCATTGAGACAAATCATATGTTTGTCACAGATTATTATTCCTTGAAATGGGTCATATACAGGGGAACATCTGTATTTAAAAGTTTATTGTCCTCTTCAAGATTATAATTGTGTTTATTATTGTGCCCTAAACCACAACAGCAGTCGTCTTAAAGGACTTTACAAAGATGTTAATTAACCCAGAACAGATCCAGACTGTACGATCACAGAAATGCACAAACAAAATGAGAAATAGATCCATAGGGAGCAGGTCGACCAATGTCTGTGACTCTTAATAAATGTGCGTGAAAATATACATGTTTTAAATTATAATTATTAAAATGTCTAATCCATTTGTGTGATTGTGAATATGGTTTAATTTGTTCTTTTTGATCACTGCATTAGAACAATAGCACCAACACAAAAAGCTGAGCAGGAACAGGATTCATTATTAGGTGAGATCACAGCTGCTACTTTCAGCCACACCAGTCCTACTCTGTATCGACCGTCTGTGTGATGCCTGTTCGATTGGACTGTAACATGTGACTGGACCAACATCAGACTGCAATGGTCTTATAAAACAAAGTTAACGTGTGGAATGGAAAAAAACAGTAAGAAAAACAAAGCTGTAAGTAAAGCCGTGGGATAGTTTCAGTTTTCCCAAAAGGCTTCTTACGTTAAAGACTTAAAGCAAAAGATACAAAAATAAAAACAAACATGGAGCATTTAGAGCCAACTTTTTTAATCCTGCATAAGTCGGCAGCTCTGAAAGAATAAAAGAATAATGTTCTATTTCCTAGTGCAATATATGGTAGTTCCCCTTCTTTTAGTAAATAAGCACACTCACTCACTCTTCTTACAGTCAAAACAGACACAGACATAGTTGAATTTAAAACAGCACAGATAATGTATAAAGCAGCTAATAACCTACTACCAAATAATATACAAAACATATATATACTGTATATGTGTGTATATATATTAGTATGATATTTGTTTTAAAACTTATTTCAATATATTGAATTAACATAGGGAAAAGGGGTAGGATTTAATAAGCTTTGACTTCTTCCTACTCCTTTTGGTCGTGAATACGGTTTTTTATTATTTGTTGTTTTGTTTTTTCTATATAAATTCATTCTATGTTCAAATAAACATAAATAAATAAAAATAAGTATGCAAGTAATCTGTGCTTATGGCCTTTCACAGACCAGAGTCACCAGAGATGGAAGTGGGATCGCCAAACAGCAGCATCCCAGAACTATTGTACATGTTTTTAGTGTCAGGGGAAACCGGAGCAAGTAATTTATATTCGTTCAAGAAGATTTCACTGCCTCAGGTACAAACACAGTTCTTTACATAGAGCGCATTGATCAAAAATAAATACACAGCGGCTTTAGTTTTTATATGGAGACATGGCCAGCATACTCACCGGACAAATCACCATGTTTGGAATGCTCTGGGTTGCCATATTTCTGTCAGAATCCAGCAACTTTGCCCATTGAAAAGGGTTCAACATCCCACAGTCAACAACATGATCATTACTGTCCTAGTCTACTATATTCAATTTAGAGAGATTGAAATAAAACTAGTGTTATGCTAGTTATCTACTGTCTTTTACATTCACAGAGCTTTTGTTTCTCCAAAATGACAAAGAACCGACATTTTGGTTCAGTCATCTGCATTAAACAGAGGAATAGGAGGATGGACTTCACATACTATTTCATTTTGACATAATCACGACCAATACGGTGATATTGGATCCTTTCCGAAGTCACACCAGACAACACTGGTTGCCCTCAATATATCTAAAATGATCATATTTGCAGATGCTAAAAAAGTGAAATAATCTCGCTATTTATGCAAAGAAATGGGGACAAACATAGTCTCTAAATGTTGTTTTCCTGTTGTTGTGTTTGCATCAGAACAGGGAGAGCGGCTCTTCGCGGTGGCATCAGTCACTGAGATTAGCGCATGTTTATTACAATGCATTTCCAGATGAGTGAGTTATGCCTGTGCACAGCTCTCACCTCCTCCAGCGAACACAACCCAAGATGAATGACACTTAACGACGGCACAAGCACTTCACCAGAAAACCTCAAATCAACAACCACAACCCGACGAGAGCAGATATCCACGCCGTGATGGGAACGTGATCGGATCGGAAAACACAGCAAAAGCGTTCAAAACAGATATGATGTAAGGAAAGTCAACGAGATTTAGCTAAGATTCAGCAATGTATGGGTAAATTATTGTTGCCCTTCTACGAATGGAAAGGGTTGTGCCTGAATAATGTGACATCAGTATTCACAGAAACCCATTTGACCAAGAGATAAAAAAGGAAATGGTGTTGTGGTCGTAAAACAAGATTCATAGTCCATCTATCTTGGACTTTTTCAGCCCGAGATACCTTTTTTAGGGGATTGTTTGTCTGTTTTAAATATAAATATATCAAACGTAAACTATTAAAACCACAGCTTTTGGAAAAAAAAATACAGCATAATTCATGATTTGATGGAAAGAATACAATATTGTAAACGGAGGATCTACTGTGGTCTTTGCAGGTGAAAGTAAACCACACTAGGGATCAACATATTCAATCTTAAATCCTGCTCATGTTTCTCGATGTGTACCTGGTCTGTGCTCGGCGTATCTGAGATGTCGTTCATGCTGCGACTCTGAGCGTGACCTGCAAACACAAACAAATCACATGTATCACCACAGTCAGCCATTAGCTTTCACATTCACTAATTAGTCATGCATTTTCCTGCCTAGGGATTACGGATGAAAACTAGCTTTGTAGCTATAAGCAGGAATATTGACATTTGTTTTATATTGGTGTTCATGAATATGCATTGTCCCTATCTGTCATGGTGTGGATTTGTAGTTATTTTATACTTGGTTTTATTTTGTAATCAGTTCTCTGTGCCTTGGTTTTAGTTGTACTTCCTGTCTTGATTGTCTGCCCCGCCCTGATGTGTTTCACCTGTGTCTCTGTTGGACCCTGTGCTCCTCTCCCCTTGTTGCTGGTCCATTGTCTTGTTCATGTCTTTGTTTGCCCATGGTTTGTCGGTCGGCACTAGATCATAAACGGAATCGGGACGAAACCGGAAGTAACAATCCTACTTTCGAATTAGTTTTAGACTAATAAGTCCTTAAGTGTTGACTGGTTAAGTTTTAGGTGTCTGAGTAAAATGGTTAAGTTTAGGGTTAAGGTGGTCTGAGTAAGATAGTTAAGGTTAGGGTTAAGGTGGTCTGAGTAAGATGGTTAAGGTTAGGGTTAAGGTGGTCTGAGTAAGATGGTAAAGGTTAGGGTTAAGGTGGGTCTGAGTAAGATGGTAAAGGTTAGGGTTAAGGTGGTCTGAGTAAGATGGTTAAGTTTAGGGTTAAGGTGGTCTGAGTAAGATAGTTAAGGTTAGGGTTAAGGTGGTCTGAGTAAGATAGTTAAGGTTAGGGTTAAGGTGGTCTGAGTAAGATGGTAAAGGTTAGGGTTAAGGTGGGTCTGAGTAAGATGGTAAAGGTTAGGGTTAAGGTGGTCTGAGTAAGATGGTAAAGGTTAGGGTTAAGGTGGGTCTGAGTAAGATGGTTAAAGAAGCTATACCCAATTTTTTTTCTAAGTAGTTCATAAAAATGCTTTTTACTACATACAAGTTGTATCATAATACATCATTTAATTGAAAACTTGAGGTCATTGATTCAGCTGTGTAAGAATTACAAGCAGTGAAAAGTGCTGAGTAGAGTCTGAGCGGGCCGCTCGTTCTCCTCCGCTCACAGAACGAGCAGCGAACAGCCTGCGTCCTCTAGCCTCTACAGCGCTGCTTAACACCAGGGCTTCGACTTCAAAATTTGAATATAATTCTAAAATAAAAAATGATGAACAAAATAATTGAATAAAAAAAATGTGAACAAATATTAGACAACCCTTGTAATTCGAAATGTATTTAATGACTGCAAATAAAATAGTTGGCTCCCAAAGGTTTCACCGGGACGTGCCAGGCAGGTAACAGCTAAGCTAGCTAGTTGTTTCATGTTAACTTCCGGGTTTTTCGCAATCGCTTTTTGTCACATTAACAGTATTTTTGTCATGAAAACGTTAACAGCAAATTCTGAAATCATCCGTGCATGTGTGTTAAGGATGTATATGTATACTGTATTGTCCGATTGACGTTTAATGGTGTTGATTGATAGATATGTAGTTGTTTATTGAGCGTGGCTAGCTCCGCTAGCTTCGTTGGCTTCTCTACACAAGTGTGTAGTGACAGGTGCTGATAGCTTGTTGTACTTGCAGAGTAATGGCAGTATTTTACACACCTGAATTACAAACAGAGGTTGCATTGGGGCTGCGGTCATTATTGGTTTGAGAGTTCTGTTATCAAGAAAAAATGATCGGAAGAATTGCTGCTGCTGCTTTGAGGAGCTCTATAAAAAAATATAATTAAATATTAGAATATATTCTAAGGTTTTAAATTAATACATTCGGACGCGAAACTAGCGGTATTCTTTTACTTATATATTGTGTTAGCAGTGCGTTGCTTTAGTACCATTTCATCAGTGATTGTTGTTGAGCTTACAAGAAGTTGCGCTAATGCTAATGTTAGCGTACATGTCAGATCGCAAATTGAGCTAGATGGCTCTATGTTATGAGAGCGTAGGGGAAATGAGAAGCCATTGAGCGAGTTGGGGGGCGGTGCTAAACATTCAAACATTGCAGAAACGGGTATAGCGCCTTTAAGGTTAGGGTTAAGGTGGTCTGAGTAAGATGGTTAGGGTTAAGGTGGTCTGAGTAAGATGGTTAAGGTTAGGGTTAAGGTGGTCTGAGTAAGATGGTTAAGGTTAGGGTTAAGGTGGTCTGAGTAAGATGGTTAAGGTTAGGGTTAAGGTGGTCTGAGTAAGATGGTTAGGGGTGGGTTGGGGTTATTTTATGGGAATGGTTGGTTAAGTTTAGGCATAAATAGGTAGTTTGTTATATTTACTTCCGCTTCCATCCCTATTCCGTATATGATCTAGTGCTGACCATGGTTTGTCAGATTTTGTTCCTGGTTCCATTTTGGATTTTGTTTTATCATCATTAAATCATTTATATTTCCTGCAATTTGAGTCCTCCATCACTTCCCACCTCGTGACACTATCAAATAAAAACATTAAAAAAAATTAACAATAGTTGCCCATTTTAAGTGGAATGTATTTGACATCGGTTACCTATGGGTGGCAATGTTTTTTTTCTACTGTCCCTGTCAAATAAATAAATAAATACATGGTTTTCTGTATGATTCTAACATTCAGAGTTTCACCTTTGAAGGAGATATGTGCATTTTACTCTAACAAATGTTTCTGTAACTTGTATTTTGAAATCACCCTTACTTGTTCATGTCCCTAGTTTTACTTCCTGTTGTTGATTACTGCCCCACCCTTGATGTGCCTCACCTGTGTCCTGGTTTTCATTAGTTTGTGTCCTCTTTGCCTCATTTGCCAGAGTGTCTTGTTTCCTGGTGTTTGTGTCTAGTCTGTTTTTGTGTGTTTTTGGCTGGATATTAAAACTTCAAAACTGCCTCTTGACTTTAGGTCTGTTTTTGAGCCACTTTTGTTCTAGCCTGACAGAAATATGTGTTTACCTGTGATTACCCCAGAAACTGTTACTCACTAATCAGGTTTGAACACTGGTCTTTGCCAATTTTAGATTCATCTTAACAGCGTGTTGTGAACAAAATGAAAAATAATCATTTGCAATATTATTTAACACTAACACAGCTTTAAAAATCCTAATATTAAACCATTATCTATGCCCTGATGTGATGTCATGTTGAAAATCCAAGTTCATTGAGAAAAATTGTGTAAAGGAGAACTTTTGATGAGCTCTAACTTTGGAGCCGATGATGAAGCTCATTATATCAAGTTAGAATTATTCATATTTTAATGATGAACGACTAAAGCAGTGGCTCATTACTGACTGTCATTAAAGGTGACCTATAATGCAAAATTGAGTAATACGTTCAATAATTATAACAGTTTGCTATTCCCACTGCCTTACGAGTAATTGATACATGTTTGAGTCATTTATTATCTACTGACACCAATGCATCGTCACATAAACTTTTTTTTTTTTTTTTTTTTTTTTGCCGCTTACGTAATAATTTGAAGAATAAAAAAATATTGACATGCTCCTGCTGATCAGTCTCATGCAGAATGATTTATGTATTTTTCACTATTTATACCTATTTTTCAGGTACAATACGAGTTGTAAACAGTTTTCCACAAAAAGCTGCACTGGGAGAGAAAAACCCTCAGTTTGGACAACAACATTCATGATTGTCCGACATAGTGTCTCTTCCAACGTTAAACAGTTGAAGATTGACCAAAATCTGCAAAACCCCAGAACTGATAGCTCTAAAATCGCTCTAATAAAAGGCCAATGCTTGACAGTGTTGTCGCTCACGCAGTCGGCCGTAGTTGGCTGGCTGCTGCTTCGTCCGGAGGTCCTCAGTGGATCTGTTGAAGCTTGGGGCGGGGCCAGGTGCTCCTCCTCCCCTGGGTCCTGCAGTCCGACCTCCTACGAACCAACACAGACTCAAACAACACAGCATGGATCTAATCTAAATCTGGTTCTATGTCTCAAATACACAGGACTGGATTCATTTAGTCATTTTTCAAGATTTTGGAAAAAATAGAAAACGTTGAAAATATATGATGCATGCATTTTGTCTGTGACTGCCTGCACTACCACCAGAGGAAGGAGTTGAATTAGTTTTGTTATTTTCCAAATTTAAAAGTTAACGGCAGACAACACAGACATGCAATTGTAAAGAACTAATACAAGGGCAATAAACAGAGACAGGGGCTTTCAGAAGTGGTGGAGATACATGTTTGAGTCATACGTTCCTGATATTAGCATAGAGGGCTCTAAAAATGTATATATTTAGCTCTGCAGATATAGTCTTTATTGATGACTTTTTTCCCCTTGGAATTTGTGCAAGTCTTCAGTTGAGACATAACAAAGGAGAAGTAAGTACTGTGCAACATACCGTCATATTTTTTCTATGATAATTGAACAATGTTAATGTCACACTGACCTATCCCCAAACACAGGCCCCCAGTGAGAGGGCAGAGGTCAGGCGTATGTCTGTGGGTGATGGGCCTGGGGAAATGCTGCAGTCGTAATGACCTCATCAAATATTAACAGTGTTCATAATATCAGGGTCAAAACATATAAGACAAACGCTAAGTGGGTATTTACTCTTGTTCAAATTCCTCCCATTTTTGTCAACCAAATGATACTGTGTGTGTGTGTGTGTGTGTGTGTGTGTGTGCGCGCGTGTGCGTGTGCGTGTGCGTGTGCGTGTGTGTGTGTGTGTGTGTGTCATAGACTGGAGAAAGAATGGACTGACTGGATTTCAGTGGAAGAAGCCAATTAAAGCTCGCTCGAAACAGTTATTTGATCGGGAATGCGGAGCAAACACTAAAAACGTAATTTGTGGGTAGCAACGGAAAAACAACCAATCAGGTGTGGCCTTCGTGAATAATTCAAAAAATCAATAAAAAAATACAAGTAATGGAAATTAATGTATATTTCTTGTATATCCCGGTCTTCACAAAGAGATTATGATTCATTTGGAAGAGATTTCAGTCCGAAGATTTTAACCATAGACTCATCTCTTGCAGCTAATACAGAGCGGTGTGGACTCCAGGACATTATCAAAGTCAGTGTGGGCCACTCACCTGCGGTCGACGAGCCGGACTTGCCGATGTCCACCAGAGAGCGGTGGATCGGTTTCTTGGTTTGGTGCCGATGTTTCCGCAGCAAAACAAAACTGATCTGGTCTCTTAAGTCTGGAGTAATCGAGCCCTCCTCAATCTGTCTCTCAATGATGTCATCTGGAAAGAACAAAACATGGTCGACTCAATGCAAGGTTTTAGGCGTGCAATTTTTTTACAATTTATTTCGCTTCTTTCTTACCTGCTACAACTTATAGTATTATCTAACTAATATTTTCTATTTTAGTAACGGATAAGCACAGGGGTCTCCAACCTGTGGCTCGGGAGCTACCAGTGGCTCGCCAGCCCTTTTTAAGTAGCTCCCCGAAAGATTTAGAATTGAACAAATGATCTTGAATTAATAGATTTTGAGTCATTATCAGTCTATAATACAGTATAAATATAGAGTTTTAAAGTATTATTTCTGTGTTCTCAATGTTTTGTCGTATTCATCACAATCAGAACTGCAAATAGGAGTAGCTCTCTGCCTCTCTTGTTGCATGAAAGTAGCTCTCCGACTGAAAAAGGTTGGAGATCCTTGGATTAGCGTTAAACTTCTCTATACACACACTTGAAAACATGAAAATTCTGAGCCGGAGAAATATTTTTGCTTCTTTAACTTAAGACCTCTAAAAAACTAATGCGATGCAGCTTGATCCACCAAATGGTCGAGAAAACCATTAAAGGGTAAATGGTTCATGTCCGGGTCTGTTTTATGGAAATACTCGGCTATTGGGATGTCCATTAGCTGTGTCACGTGAACTTATTCGGAGCCAAATCTTGATCATATCTTGACACAAAAATAACTTAACAATGAATCAAGTGAACAGTTGCTCAGATTATCGAAAAGAGAAAAAGTCTGAGGCACTCTGTTGCAGTGAAAAAATATTAAAGTCCTTTAATAAAATACACTGCCTACGCATTTTGACCAAAAGCGGTCTTCGTCAGGGCGTCATTGATGGTCGAAACGTGTCGGCAGTAGGGATGGGAAAAATATATTGTAGACAATAATATCGTGAAAGTCAATGTGAAGATATGCTTTTTCGTATTCTTTTGTTTTTTATTTTTCAATACATATAACAATTAGAGAAGGACAGATGCTCGTTGGTCTAATGTGTGCCTAAAAAGCCAATCACTGCTTCATTTGTACATTTCAGTAAATATTGAGCCTTTTTGGATGTGTTCTTTCTGTGTTACTTGAATTGGATTTTTAATATATTTTTTGCATGTTTGAAGCACTTTACAAATAAAAAGCTTCTATTTAGATCTAGGCAAGTTTAGGCAAGTTTATGTGTATAGCACAATTCATACACAAGGCAATTCAAAGTGCTGAACAAAATAAGAAAGCATTAAAATCATAAATAATCACACAACATTAAAAAGAAAGATAAAAATATAAAATCCCTCAGTTGTAGCACAGCTAAACAGAACTGTCTTTAACCTGGTTTTAAACATAGTCATTGGGGACATCTACACTGTCTCTATCTATACATGCCCTGGCAGCAAAACATTCCAGGTCATTTTGTGTACAAATTATTGATTTAAAAAAATATCGTGACAATATTGTTATCGAGAGTTGTGAAAAAATTACAGATATTTATTTTTGTCCATATCGCCCACCCCTAGTAGGCAGTCCATTTTTATAAAGGACTTTTATTTTTTTTCACTGCAACAGAGTGCCTCAAACTTCTTTTTCTCTTTTCGACATCCTGAATCTGCTTAGAATGCCCTGTCTTTGAAGAGCACCTGTTTGTTAAGCCTTTTACCACTCGTACCTCTGCAGCACTCACCTTCCTTGCTTTAAACTAAAAGTTGCTTAGATTAATTGATTATCAAAATAACCGTTAGTTACAGCTCTATATCAAATATGCCAAATCAAATGTAAACCATGAAAAGATAAGATAAGATAAACCTTTATTAGTCTCACAGTGGAGAAATTTCAGTGTCATCGTTGCGCACATTACAGCAGAGAAAGGAAATAAGAGCACTCAGATTGCACACATCAAAGTCTATAATTTAAGATAATAGACAATACATTTAAGATAAAATAAAATAAAATAAAATAATATAAACTCTGGGCTATAATTGCACTTGGTTCGGAGTATTTACAGATGTCTATATTATACATTAGCAGCGGAGAATATGAGAATATGAATATGAGCAGAATAAACATCAGAAATAATATCAACAGGTAAAGTGACTTAAAGAGCAGCTGGGAGCAGAGATCCAGACGTTCTTGTGTCTGGCCGTCCATGCAAACATGCGCTCTCCCTACAGGAAAGAACACTTCCTACAAGCACTGCACTGCTTTACTGAGGTAAATGATTTGTTTCTCTGTTTCATTAATCTGAGAGAGGCGCAGGATTCAACAGCATTGCACTTGTACTACAGCTACAATCGTTCATTTGATCAGGCGTGTAGTAGACAGCCAAACTGGATGTATCTTTTGACCCAATAAATGATAATAACCCACTAGTGTAAACAATTATAATCATACAGAAAAACCAAAAATGTAGCAACAAGTTGGAAAGTAAATTTCCGTCCCATTAAAAAAAGAATCCACAAATCTGTATGAGGTCAAACACGACGTATGGCGAAACAAGTACACACACACTATAGATTGCTATTGATAACGCTGATTGATTGATCCAAAATATAACCAGGGAAGTTTCCATCACAGCTGCAGAGTCAAACATCGGGTGTTGTCGATGCCACATCCAACAACACAAACAGGCTCTAAAAACATTATTGATCCAGGGCGCATTTCCATTGTAGGTAATGAGCTCATTATTCCTTCCTTGTCTGAGCATTGTTTAAAATCACTCCACTGTTGGTTTTTAAGTGTTTCCAGATTAAACTGTCTGAACAGCTGCTTAAGCGTAATTGATTTCTGCACAAAGCATTGCTGGATAAGAGAGTGCAGCTAATTGGGACATGAAAGATAACTAAGGTTTTAATTATATATCTGCAGGTGTGTTAACTGGAGTGTGGCTCCTCCCCAAAATGGTTTCTAAAGAATCAGTGCCATTTGGAAAAGCAGACCGTTTATTTATCTATTTGTGTCTTATCGTACAGAGACACATCCAAGTGTAAAATTAAGGGATATGCTTCAGGAGCTTTGTGCCGTCAAAGAGCGGTCAGTATTTGAACTCATAGTGAATCCTGCACATTGGATAATATATGCCTCTAACATGCAACAGTAAATTCTTGATAAAATTAGAAATAATGTTTTAGTGATATATTGACATTAAATACTGATGATGCCAAAAAAACGTGTCGCCTTCTAGGACAGAGCGCTGAGAGGCTGGAGCAGGACTGAAGGCTACAGGAAGGCCGCAGAAGTCCTCTAAACTCTGCGGTGCATGGGCTGAAACTTTCTGTTACTGTAATAACAGTATTAGGGTTAAAATAGAAACACAGTGTCAACATTAAAGCTGCACTAACTGACTTTATTTTCGTATTCATTACCAAAATTCAACCCATGTCCATGCAGTGCATTGGGATACACGTCCTCTTGAAGAATAAGTAGAGCAGGGTTGGGCTGGCATCACATTATATTTTAGATCGAGTTTTCATGAAACAAGGAAGAGAATGTGTTTCGGGTCCAGATTGTGACCAATCACAGCGGACCGCTGGCCCCCGCTTTCTTGAGAAAAGCGACAGGTCTTTGCTTAGCACCGACAGCTGAGTTAGCACAACAAGCGGCAGAGGCTAATCTGAAACGTCTTGTGTCTTGTTACTGCTTACACAGCGAAACAGCCAAAAGAAAGTCTCGTCCTCTCCGCGCTTCCCGGTTCTGTCATTCTATGGTCACACCATCCACGTGCAAAAGTGCCATATTGTTCCATATTGTGAGACACTAGCTCCGAAGCTAACAACAGCACAGAGCACAGGCTGCGGGGGAGGGGGGTAGTGGGGGGCAAAGCTCCGTGGGTGCGGGGAGGGCGAGCAGAGAGAGCGAGGCCATCGCTCGCGTTTGAAAATGTCTCCAAATCATTTAGTGCAGCTTTAAGTTGTACTTATTTATTGCACATATTATGTACACTTCAGTGTATTGTAACTCACCAATGATCTGTGGTAATGAATATCCATCCAGGTCCAGTAAGACAGTTCCAGTTTGGAGACACGTCCTGAGCTCAAACAGACTGTGCAGCGACAGCGTGGACACGTGAGGCTTACTCCAGCGCTCTCCTCCCTCCTCCACCTTCTCCTCGAACTTCACCCATCTGCAACAAACCACAGGCAGAACATGAATCAGACGTATTGTGGTACGTATGATATAAGTGTTTCATGTCAACACTGATCCCTCACAAAAACGTACTCTTAAAGAATGTTCACATTCTCCTGGACTTCAGAACATCACTCCATACACAGTGAGAAACTACTCATGTAGTCACAGCTGCCCTGGGGCAAACTGACAGAAGTGAGGCAACCAGTATGTGCCATTAGCCCCTCCAACATCAGTGTCATGCTAGGAAGTATAGCACAGTTCAGTATAGTATTATAATAAAACCTGGACGATGAACCTACAATGGCGGACAATTGCTTTGAACTAAAGAGCTCAATGCCACAGGAGAACCAGAACCGTGCCCACCAACATTTAGAAAAGTTTACTTTTTTGGCAAATTAAGAACAGTAGAAAATAGTTCAAACAGACACAATCCTTTCTAAATCCAAGCTTTGTGGAAGCTGCAGATGCGCTGTCAGCTGAACTCAGACCGTTTGAACACACACAAAATGCACAGGGAGTTTATGGATGTCTGGGCCCAGAGGGTGCAGTACTGCGGTTCGGCCACAAGCTCAAACTCTGAACGTGTTGGATATCAGGTTTTGACCGATGCAGAGCCGTGCATACAAATGAATACATCAAACACAATGTATTTGTGCTAAGGCCTTGTTTGTCAGTCAAAATCCCCTCATAGGAGTCGCGTCTGCCGCTCTGTTCAGAGCTGTCTGAAAGGTAAGCTCCAACCATCGCTGCTCAAACAACACTGTCAACTTTTACTCCAGGGACATGGATCTTAAAGTAATTATCTTTTGTCATGTCTTCAGATGAATCTCCCCTCGAGTGCGTATGGCCTTTTACTAAACTAAATATCCTCGTTTGTTTATGTGAAAAATCACATAAACAAACCGGGGAGTTAGGTTGTGTAATCACATTAGGAGCAAGACATTAAAAAGTGTGTTCAAGGTGATTTATGTCTTTAAGAGTTTGCTTTATACATCTAGAAATAGTATAGGAATAGGGTGCAGTCTTTATTTAACATCAGTTCTTCTTCTTACCTATATTTAAGAAAAAAACAAACACTAGGACTGTATGTAACGAGTGAGTGAACGGGTGGTGATGGTCTGAGGCAGACATCTCCAAACTAAGGCCTGCGGCCTCTGTGTCATTTTATGTGGCCCTCTGCCTCGCTAACTCAAAGTATCCATTGACATCATAGACGAGCTCACAGTGTCAACCAACCAACTTCAGCTTCACCAGTATAGACTATAGCTGGTTGCAAATCTCAGAAACTCTGGAATCCTGGTGTTTACTTTATTTGTATATGCTGACATTTCTTTTTGATTCACATTTGTCTCAACTTCAGCTCCTCCAAATGAGAATCAAAATACTTCAATTTAAAGCTCAGAACCAGTGAAAACAGTTTTATGATCTGTGTTGTCGCCCCAGGAGTATTTTGGCGAGCTAAAGCCTCCCTCTAACTAAAAAGTTTGGTCTGAGGGTCCAGGTGTCCTGCATCTTGCTTCTGTCATCACTGCATTTATTAGACCATATATAGCTACATACAGTATAGACCAAAAGTTTGGACACACTTTCTCATTCAATGAGTGTCCTTTCTTTTCATGACTATTGCCTGTAGATTCACACCAGGCTGTGTAAGGGCTGTTTGACCAAGAAGGAGAGTGATGGTGCTGGGCCAGATGACCCGGCCTCCACAGTCACCGGACCTGAACCCAGTCCAGATGGTTTTGGGGTGAGCTGGACCACAGAGTGAAGGCGAAAGGGGCCAACAAGTGCAAAGCATCATGGGAACTCCTTCAAGACTGTTGAAGACCATTTCAGGTCCTCTTGAAGCTCATCAAGAGAATGCCAAGAGTGTGTGAAGCAGTAATCAGAGCAAAAGGTGCTATTTTGAAGAATCTAGAATATTAGACATATTTTCAGTTGTTTTATACTTTTATTTTAGTATGTACATAATTCCACATGAGTTAATTCATAGTTTTGATGCCTTCAGTGTGAATCTACAATTTTCATAATCATGAAAATAAAAAAAGGGTATATGCGATCATTGAGTCTTTCCTTTGTTTTCGCCACAAGACATAACACATTAATTTGACAATTAATGGCGTCACACAACCACTAACTTTGGGGTGCGACCTTTCAAGCACTCTTATATTTCACAAAATAGCTATAGGACACTGTTTATTTGAGTTTTCTGTTAAGGCAGTGCCTCCACATCCTCAGCAAGAGCTCAGAGATGAAAACAGCACATGTTGCCGCTCCTCAGGCCTGGTCTAACGTTGTAATTCCGCCATTAGGTTTGTGAAGAGTGTCACCAGCTCTTACCTGGCCGACTCCTTCCACTCCAGCTCCTCTCCTTCTCGCTGTAAAGTGTCCATTTCTGTGAAGAGCGTTGGTGTGGGGAAGTCATCGTCCTCGTTCAGAATGTAACGCAGCCTCTCTGCAGCTGGAGACACAGCTGGAGGAGAAGAGGACATTTGCCTTTTAATGAGAGGGAAGGGGTGAGATGGAGGAGTGTATGTTGAGCCTATGCAGCTCACACGGGAAGAGCCAGTGTCTGATTTATATACGTATTCTAAAAATCTTCCTAATATATGCAGATACTAATGGATACTAATTTACAATACAATTACAATTATTCTTGTATAGCCCTAAATCACAATACACAATATAAACAGATAATGTTTTTAACTGTTTATTTATCATAATCTGATTAGCATAGAGCTTCTACTGCCGCCTCCGTCGAGCACAGACGTGTCCTCAGACCGCTCCTGCTTCTGACTGCTTGCTCTCTCTTGTTTTTGTCTTTTTCCTGGAGCTTTGCCACAGACAACTCTTGCTGTGGCTGTCTCCACTCTTATCTCACATACCTACTGGCCAAGGCCGAAGAAAACATGGACTCTCTACAACAAGCCTCACTAACAAGAATTATGGTTATCATTAACAATTTTTTCAACACGTAAGCGAGGACCGGGGGAGCCCTTGTGCCCAGACGGGACTGCACCTGCACATACTCTAGACAGCTAGCACAAGTGGAAACCCCTTTGTACAGCTATACCCAGCTTTGGACTGCAGAGTTTCATGACTGCATCTGGTGGTGTGCCATGCGGTTGTTTTCATTGAAGGAGGTGTCCCACGGCTCAAAAAGGTTGGGGAAGTTATTCTATTCTAACATTAAAGCAGTGTAACATGAGCCACCTCCATATTAGTAATTAATCTGTTGTCCCAAAACTACCATGAGACAGAATTTATGATGACTTTTGACATTTCTTAATTATCTCATTTCTTTGATTTACTAATGGGAGATCAACAGTTATATAATGATAACATGGGTTTTTTGTGCTGTTCAAAAAATGTGATTATATTTGATTGCAGCTCTGTAACATGTATCAGTTGTATTCTCTCCACCTGGTTGAAAATATTCAGGTCATCGTTGCAAAACACTTAAAGGAGCAATATGTAATCTCTGGACAAAAGTGGTACTGCAGTCACGGTCAATATTTTGTAGCCCTCTCCCACTCTCCCTGACTCAGGTTGCCAGATACACACCAAATCCAGCAGGAATTATTTGATCAGTTGTTTGTCTGTCTCTCACATTGTCATGATAATCGTGCTAAATAGATTATCCAAAATAAATAAGCAATTGATGTCCAAAATAGGAATGGGAAGAATGGATGTTGGAACGTATTTCTTCAGCGTATCAACATCAGGGTTTCCTCCAGAGGACATCACCCTTTGATTTTTTTTAATTCCCTATTTTTTAGACATGTAAAAGTCCCACATCAAATAGAGTCTAACATTATTTTAATTGGGGTACATGTGGTCTCAAATTATTCTTATTACTTAAAGGAGCAATATGTAATATTTGCATGTCAAGTCATCATTAAATGACCCGAATATTTAAAAAGGCATTAATAAATCATGTTCTTTTCAAAAACATCTTTAACTGATAACAGTAGTTCATCCGAGATATTTGAATATCAAAATTAGTTTTACGACCCGTAAAAGTTGTTATTGTTTTGATTTTGATGTCCTACCCTCCGCCGTTTCGCCAATCAGGAAGTGTCATGTAAGTCCGTGATCGGGTTGCCAGAACTCCGCGCGGCTCACTAATCTCAGAGGTAAAATAACATGTGGCGCAGAACTAAAAAAGGTCTTGTTATGACTCTCAAATCCTTAATGACAAAACAAAGACTAAAACGAGGATTTATATCGGGACGCCTTTGAACATTGAGACAGCTGATAAAAGTTCACGTGTGATGCAGAATTTGCTAGTTTGACTCCGTTCTTCACAATGTCTCTGCTCGTGTGAATCGGTGGTATAGTGGTCTAAACTGTGCGCTTACGATGCAGGAACCCGGGTTCGATCCCGGGCTATGCCTTTTTGTATTTATTGCATGTTATCACATTCTATGACAGATTGCTCTAAAAACGGTAAGAGACGAAGGTCAAGACGTTTTTTTTTGCAGATTATAGCTTAATTGTAAAAATAATCATTTAAGACCACATGTACCCCAATTAAAATAATGTTAGTCTCTTTTTGATGTGGGACTTTTACATGTTTGTCTAAAAAATAGGGAATAAATAAAATTGAAAGGTGATATCCTCTTGAGCAAACCCTGATGTTGATACGCTGAAGAAATACGTTCCAACATCCATTCTTCCCACTCCTATTTTGGACATCAATTGCTTATTTATTTTGCATAAACTATGTATAATTACATTGCTTTTATTTTGTTTTTGTTTTTTATCTCAAATGTCCAAATAATAATAATAAAAAAACATGAATCAAAACATTCATTCAGCATTAGCACGGCTGTCATGGTAATGTGAATGGAGACGGACAAACAACTGATAAAATAATTCCCTGTGTTTGCTGCTGGATTTGGTGTGAATCTGGCAACCTGAGTCAGGGAGAGTGGGAGAGGACTACAAAATATTGACTGTGACTGCAGTACCACTTTTGGCCAGAGATTACATATTGTTCCTTTAAGCTTTAATCTGCAAATAACGACTTGTTTTGTCCTTTTGCCGTGTTTGAACAATCCGTCATAGAATAAATCATATATTGTTTAAACCAAAATATATCTTGGTCGGAATGTATGTTTGTTGAGCTTGTTTTATATTATTATTATTTAGTTGCTGATAATCTTTAACGGTGATGGCTGAAAGGGTTCTTCCAAATTACGGAAGAAAATGAGGGAACAAAAAAACTTCACATCCTCGTTGTGTTGTGTTTATTGTCTGCATTTTATTTTTGATACATCACTGAAACATCTCACAGTTATTCGCGGCCTGTAGCGACAGGAAGTGCCTTATATGGTGTGAGGTCAAAGTAATTCAGGCAATGAGTTCTTCTATGAACAGAGCTGCCATCAATTCATTGTTTAATGTTGGAGTAGGCACAATAAAGAACACAAAAATATTATTGTGTAAATCATAGGTTTGTCAAAATGACTAATAGTATAGTTTAATTATTACACTGATGCCTTTTTACCCAAAATGATTATATTCATGTAATTGCTTCTTCATCTTAGTAGTTTAGCTCTGCTTATAGTAAATAGAAACAATATATGTTTGTTTGGAAATTGGAAAATGATAATTTTGCCCCAAGGCCAACCGTGGAGAGATATAAAATAATCATCTCTTGTTGCTCGTTGAGTTGCATATAAAGTGAAGTAGGAAACTAATGTAAGGACAATGCTCATTAAAAGTATAAATATTTATCAAGGTTGACAACTATGGCAACTAACAACACGATTTATGATTCCCCTCCCCTTTGCGGCCAAGACTCCCCTAAAAAGACTATGTCCTGGTTCAATGAAGGTCAAAAAATAAATACATATGAGTTCTCCATATTCTTCACCTAAAGAATCAAATGTATTTCCATTATAACGGTCATATCACGTAAAAGGAAAAAGGTTGTTACATGATCAGAACGGATAACACAAGTTTCATCTCCATTACTTTTCATTGAGAAACTGAAACAAAATGTAACACTTTTCACAGGTCACGGGTCACGGGTCACAGGTCACAGGTCACAGGTCACAGATCACCGGTCACAGGTCACGGGTCACGGGTCACAGGTCACTGGTCACTGGTCACGGGTCACGGGTCACAGGTCCAAACATAATTGGCTTTGAGTTTTCTTCTGTACATCACTGTTTAACAAGTGTTCACAGACAAAAACAAACTAAACCAGTTCTTTCTCCACAATTCTCAATGGTCAGGAGTGAATTCTTCTTTTCACACACAGTTTGAGCATTCTAAATATGTCCCACAAAGAGCGTAAGTGGGTTTTTTGTACCAGCACATTAGCAGCAGGCTTCCCATTCCCTGTTTTACGACTGCGTTGGAGTCAACATGAGTTTTCTCAAATGTATCCAAAATGGGTGCAGGGATATTCAGAATATTTATTTTTTCTGTTGCTACAATTCTATGATCGACCATCCGTGTGCTTCCACCAATCACAGATGACTTACTGGAAAGAGAGGTTTTTAATTTCAATTGGATAAGTAAACAACTCTGTGAATAACTAAAAGTGCACGGTGTGTATGGCACTATTCTGTCTTCATCTATAATCATGAAAATCATATCAATCGCACCAGTATTTCATATCAAACCATCATCTTCTGCTTTTGGCTGAAAGGTTCCACACTTTGGTATTAAACGTATTGATCTTCTTACAAGCCGACAAATCAGGCCAATATTTCACGTTTTCTGAAATATCTGCTAACCTTTTACCAACCTGCCGATATGCTACTACTGTGGCACCTGAACCTGTATGTGAAAGCATGCAGGTCAGATCTCAGAAGCTAAGCAGGGCATGATCTGGTTAGTATTGTGATGGGAAACCTCTGGAAACACCAGGTGTCAGCTGTTTTTTTTAGTATCCTGCTTATTGTTTTGCCTTTCCGTGTCTGTGCGTTTCAAACTTCCCCCACCACCACTACTACTATCTTCAGAGCAAAAGTCAGTTACTTTTTAGACTGCGAACAGAGGGTGAAACACACGCACTGGTTACATTTGACAGCTGACATCACATTGAATGAAAAAAGTATTTGGATTCTTGCTCATTTGGTCTTTTCTTTTCATCCTTATACCTCTGTTAATCCTGGCTAGAACATTTTACATGATCAGTTACACGCTATCCACAATAATAGCAGTGATGTTGTGCTTTATCGGGCTGCAGACGGCTCAGCGGGCAAACACAGTGCTCTGCTACACATGCTGCTGCAATACGTCACATGTTCTTTGTGTTGAATGCACAACCACCCAGTCTATTTCAACACTGCAGCAGGTCGAAGGTATTGATGAACTGCATTGACAGCTGCCGACAGATTTCACTTTTTCTGAATGAAAAACCCCCGGCTAAAGAGTCAATCGTTTTAAACAACAGAAACAGAAAGTACCAGCAGGCGACAAGTGTCAATACTGATCTAAAGTGCGCTCTGGAAATATGTCAGCATAAGATGGTTCTTCGGATTTTATTTTTACTATGAGGTCATCACTAAAACATTTCTTCATGTTTGGCCAAAGTGATATAGTTAGTGGTTCATATTGGGGTTGATGACATGATCAGCACTAACTACTACTTCCTACTATTAGCGAAGGAATGTTTATGTCTTTAGAAGCAGAGCAATTGTAGGGATACAATGTAACATAACAAGATAATTATATTGTTATTTAGTGTGTCAACAATTTGTCTAAGGACATTTTTCACAAAGGCACTAGTAAAGGAGCTGTCTACGTGACAGCAGTAAGTGAACAACACGACACTTCAGGCCAACGGCTAAAAGAGAGTTTCTTGGAGCGGCTCAGACCGCATTCTGCTGCAGAGAGAGCGCTGAGAGTGACACTGCTGAGAAAATGGTTAAAGTCGAGCCGAAGCACTTCAACACTGCACATGGACACTAACCCTGCTTCACACTGTCACCTATTTATTGACTTTATTAGATTTTATATAGAATTGACCTAAGTGGAATCTAAAAAGTCTTTAAAGAGTCAAACATTTAACTTAGAGCTGTCACATTTCCCTAAAAGATGATACTTTTCGTTTTTAAAGATTAGGGACACAGCCCCTCTGTTTCTCCACTGCTGTGCTCAGCCGACTCAGGAAGTACAGTAACATGTGCAAAAACAACCTAAAACAGAAGAAACAAAATGTCTATGAAGTCTACTTCCTAAATCTAAAAAGTGTGCTAGAAGTAATCACAGAAGTCTACTTCCTGACACTAATAATAGCTCATTTTCTCATTGTCTCTCAGTGGTTTCTTTCTTTGTTACACTTGTAAAGACACTGCATTTGGATTGCATCTCAAAATAAAAGACAAGCAAAATGTCGCTGTCTGTAAATTATGCTAAAATGTGCAATTTTGTCTAAGAAAATGAAAGCGAGCACCTTTGACATTTTAAGAGCACACAGACTAGATTTAAAATAGCTCTGCACAATTGTATGTTACATAATGTCATTCAGAGCCGTGATTAAGGATCAGACAAAAGAGGCTAATAGCAGCTGTAGCAGACAGTCGCTCTTCTAAATGCTTCAGAGCTGTCTTTATCTCTGCACAATGTTGGAGTTAGACAAAAGTTTTGCTCATTCACAATAAAGCCTAGCCTTTAAAGGTTTTATATGCCTTGCGTATAAAGAGGTGCTGAATCAAACCCTTCATGTTTGAGGATTACAGCCTGTTTGAAATGGGCAGGGATGATTTTAATTATTAATATTTCAGTATACATGTATGTGCAGTTTTTTATTACTTCTTCTGGTCAGTGACTTACTGCGGCTCAGGTCTGCAAGGCTGTGGTCAGTGGAGCCCATGAGCCCCTCCTCCAGGTCCACGCCTCGATAGCGCTCGTCGGACTGCTGTCGGTGACTGTGGCGTCGGTCTCGCTCTATGTCAGTAGAGCCTTCCCGACTGGACCTCCTTCTCCTGCGCTTCCTCCTGTAGCCACGAGGGACCGGGACGCCAATGTAGATAGACTGGTGGTCTGAGGACAAAGTTCCGTTTAGAAACAGTTAATTGATGTTGAAAGTGTTTTAACCGTGTCCTACTCTTTTTTCCTGAGAATTTTAACATCAGCTTCATTCTATTGATGCCTCGACTTAAACACATGAAAGATGCACATTAATCATTAAGGAAAACAAAATCGTGTTTTTTCAAGATTTTTCGCCCTAAAAAAAACAGACCTGGAGTTGTTTTTATATCTATCCATGCAAATATCTGGCTCAAACATGTCCATCTCCGTTCCTTCTGTCATCCTGCCTCAAACCTGGCATGATGAATCCTAACAAAAATATACTTATTTTACACAAAACATCAACAGCCGTGGCTACGTAAGCTTACAAACATAAACGATCTGACTGTGGTGTGCACCTCACCCCAATACACGTCCAAAACTCTCACACTCTAGACCAGGGGCGTCCAAACATTTAAGTAAGAGGGCCACTTTACTTCACCAGACTAGTCCAGGGGTCAATGTCACGGACTGAAAAACTGTATTGACTGGCATCGAGCTGTTCTGAGCATTATATGATCTATAACGGAGGTGAAGTTGGCTGAATGACACATGTTTACCATCTCACCATCTCACGAGTCAACGCCTGAACTCCAGACCTACTGGGCTTTAGAACGAGGTCTATATTGGCTGAGCTGAAGTTGGATGGATGACACAGTGAACTTGTGTTTATGATCTCAATGACTACGTTAACATAAGATAAACTTTATTCATCTCAAAATGGAGAAATGTACTCCATTACTACTACTACTTTGGGTTAGGGAGGCAGAGGGCCACATACTATGACACTGAGGGCCGCAATTGGCCCCCGGGCCTGAGTTTGGACATGCCTGCTCTTCTGTAAATATTCCTCTGTAATTCACACCGTTCTCATAATCAGCAATCCTATCATGCCTCTTGTCGAGATACACTGAACTGACTGTGAGTGAACCAGTATCTGTGTCTGCCCATTTGTTGCTTCGGTCGATTGGTCTAAAACCTTGCTACCTTTGAAACAACTTTAAACGTGAAATTTGAATAAAAGAGATAAAAGCCCTCATGCTTCTAACTGACAGCCTCTAACACATGAAGCAGTGTTTCATGAATGTTAAAACAAATTCTGAACCTACAGTATGCAGTGCAACCATTCTTAAGTTATAATGCCTGACTTGATGCTGAATCTTGCAATGTGCGATGATCTTCTGGAAATTAATGCAGGACTGAAAAACTAATTGTGCTAAAACTCCTCCAGGAATTACCAGGCAACAGGGAGGCGCCAAACCAATATTGGCAGCTCTAAAAACAGAAGCCACTTAAAGCAGCTGTGGACAAGCAAACATTGCATCCGACATTAAAATGCACCTACTACACAATTCTTTCACACCAATTTCCCTTCATAATTTATATCTCATTAAGAGGACGCATCCAGGCACACTCCCCGACAAGAGGGCAAATTAGATTTAATGTTGTGTGCGATGAAGGCTGCCTCATCACAACAATACAAGAGCTGCAAGGACATGTAATTCATACAAATGCATCACAACTAAACAAAGGCAATGAAGTAGAGACGAGTTGAAATTGAGGATAATTTCCTTTGTTGTATTGGACATATCTCTGTGTTTGCAAAGGAAGACTGGTAGAAGGGCGACTCCAGCAGGATGAGTATTTGGCTTAAGGAAAAATCCACTCAAGCTCTAACTTGAGCCCCATTTCCACCAGTCCTACTTGGCCCTCTACTCTACTACTCGCATCTTAGAAACCTACCCACAACAAATCAGTATCTGTGGAAATTCCTTGGTAACCATGGCTTCAAGCAGCATTCTGTCCAATCACTGGGAGTTAGAACACTTTAGTACCAGCTTGGCCTGGTTAGAAGCCTAAAAGAACACCTGGTCCCGGTGATCTGTGGAGTTGCGCCGCTTGTTGAGTTGAGCTGCCTCAGAGGTTTATGATGTAATGCAAACCTGCACATACGCTTTTCACGGCAGCCGAAGCAAACCAAGATGGCGGACATGAAGTCCGTAAATTGTGAAAAAAGTTAAAATACAAACGAATTGAGACGCAAAAGTTACTTGCGAGATGTTGATGGTTCCATGTTGTGATATGTGGGTTTTAAGAGTCAAGTTTTGTGTAAAGTTTGGTTTAAGTAGTCAACTGCTCCTGTGAAGCCACTCTGCTGCTGTGTGATAGCAGTACCTTTCCTGTCCAGTTGAGCTGCAGCAGACGTCATTTTACTGACGAAGGCCGATGACACCTACTGTGGCTAACTCGACAGCTAACAGACCAGTTGAGTCGGGTTGATAATGGTAATAATAACCATAATCTACGTTGTAAGCTATCAGCTGTCAAGTTAGCCACAATGTACAATGACATTTCAACATTAAACAAATGTTATTTTGAAAAACAATTCAAACATGCAAATTTAATTACAAAGTGGTTAAAAAACATCCAGTGGCGTTTTATTACCACAATTATAATGTGATTATAAAAAGACGTTACAATACCATAAAATCAATTCTGGGTAATTTTTGTTAGCGAGGAACCATGAGTGTGAGAGGCGTAGACTCCTGGTTTTGTTAAAATGATGCTTTTACATTAAGCATGTCATAGAAAAAAAGATGAAGATCTTTATTTTCTTGTATAAACTGAAGATGTTAAAAAAATTTAATAGTTGTGTTCATGGGGTCAGGGTTTGACAGAGGGTTAACGAAATTAAACGGTGTAGTTTTTTGTTCAATGAAACTACTTAGAAACAGAAACAGTCGTATGGTGTAATAATACAACATTAACATTATAAAGCTGTTTTTGTTGTGATTTAACAGGAACATACAGTTAAATTTTTAAATCACAAAGGCATAATGTGCTTCAGTAAAACAGTCTTTAACCGTTAAAATTAGCAACGGTAATGCCATGTTGAGTTAACGGTACTGTAAATCCCTGGAACCATATTTGCAGCTCTGTACCGTTTTTCTACAAGGAAATTCTTTACAGTGCACAGGACACGTCATCGGCTACGTCAGTATAATGCAGTATGCCGCAGCTCAACTTGCAGGTTTGCATTACATCATAAACAGCTGAGACAGCACAATGACAAGCGGCGCAACAGAACACCGGTTAAACAGGGCTGGTGGAAACAATCACAGATGGAGTAGAGTCAAGTAGGAAAAAACCAGGCTTTCTTTGACATTTAGGCTGAACGTCCCTGCTATCCCTCATCTGTAAGTACTCTGCATACTGTAGCGCAAAGCCTACCCAAAGTTATTGGAAGATGTTAAAAAGTCTATTTCTCTGGTGTTTTTACTGCTTTTCCAATGTAGTAAAACAGCAAACTAACTGAACAAAGTTCTGACTTGTTCTGTACACCTGTCTAAAAGCAGAATATATCTTGTTTAGGTTACGATCAAAATATACTGGACAAATCAGTGGGGAGTCTGAGATCTGTTCAGAGCCAGCCCACTCACCCTCTTCTTCCTCGTAGCGCAGGTGTGAGAGGCCCGCCCCTCGGTCTCCATGGTCCATCCTGCGCAACACAAAAGCAGAAATTCCAGATTTTATACCTTTTAATGTGATTTTGAAGAGGAGCAGAACATGAGTGGGAGTTCTTTCACCTGCAGCAAATGGGAACAGTGATAATGGAGTTCAGACATTTTTCAGTTGCATTAAAGCCACAGAGACAATGCGATCTGGGAAAACCCATCACATGGTGACATTTGACCAACTTTTCTGACACCATCTTAAAGCTGCTTTCAATCTCTTTTCAAATCTGTTTTCCTTTTTTTCATAGCATGTCTGTAACAAAAGTTATCGTTATCTGAAGCCAGCTTTTTAACATGGTTTTATGAAACAGAATTCTGAAAAAAACAGGTTTAAAGTTTAAAGACATTCTACATAGAATCACCACAATCAAATATAACATGTTACATTTCAATTCCTCTGTTTTGGCACACACTTATTTTAGTCACTATGTTGAAAAAGATAAAAAATGTTACTTTGGCACCAATTAAACACACAACACTCAGTAATTAGATAAAAATCAAGAATGTACAGTATTTATTCTTTCAACATTCAATGAATCTAATTTGTTTTACGCAACTTTTCCTCTACTTTTTTATGTCTTTCTCTTTAAAAGTTACTGAACATTATGTATTAGACAATGCCAGTATTATTCTATCAAATCACACAGTTTAAATATCCACACACAACCACCAAGCATTTTTAATGCAAGGAGAAAATTAGGTACCCGAGCTTTAATTTCGTGAGTTTTGGTTGCGCATAGGAGACACGCGGGAGACCTGGACTTGGATCAAACTGGGGATTGTCTGAACGCGTGTCAATGGCCCTGTCCGCATGTCTATGGTTCTGTCAGAAGAGTGTCTATGGTTCTGTCCGCGTATGGTTCTGTCTATGGTCCTGTCCGCATGTCTACGGTCCTGTCAGAAGAGTGTCTATGGTTCTGTCCGCGTATGGTTCTGTCTATGGTCCGCGCTCGGAGCCCCGACGGCAGTGCGTTCGCTGAGCTGTCAAAGCGGCTGAGACAGAGCGACCGCAGCTGCTCCCGGGGCCAGAGCAGAGGATGTAACGTAACGTTCGGTTTATCAAAACATATCACCATTTTCAATGTATAAAGGGAGGGGTCATGGGTCATCATTGGGCCTCATTCACGAATAACTTCGTAAGAAACTTCTTAAATTTCTTCTCAAGTCGTTCTTCAGTAGATTTCTAAGAAGACCCTACGTGGGATTTATCAACGCGCTCGTAAGCCACTGAATTGTTCGCAGCTGTTCTCTCAGATTGATGAATGCCAACTCCTCGTAAGTAGAGCGCGCGTGCCCGGTGCTTCATTAGCATAGGTAATTAGCATAGGTGACCGCCCATTAATGCCCATATAAGGGACTGCAGGGCCGTGCCAGAGGAAACAGCAACAGGCCTAAAGCAAAGAGTTACACGGAGCAAAAGAGTCACCCTTTTTCCTTCTTTTGCCAGACTAGGAATAAAGTCATAAAATGTTGACTTAAAAGTCGAAATATTTTGAGAATAAAGTCGAACTAGCAAAATGATGAGATGAATCTCAAAATGTTATGAGATTAATTTAAAAATATATTATGTTTTAATTTAAAAATGAATCTCAAAATGTTATGAGATTAATTTAAAAGTATTTTGGACCCTGAGAGGAGATCCAGCGCTGAGACCAATGCAGACCCGAGGAGAGACTGGAGAGACCAGCAAACAGAAACCAGAGCGGACCGAGGAGAGACCGCATAGACTGAGACCGCATAGACTGAGACCGCATAGACTGAGACCAGCGCGGACCAAGGAGAGACCGCATAGACCGAGACCAGCGCGGACCGAAGAAAGACCGCATAGACTGAGACCAGCGCGGACCGAGGAAAGACCGCATAGACTGAGACCAGCGCGGACCGAAGAAAGACCGCATAGACTGAGACCAGCGCGGACCGAAGAGAGACCGCAGCGACTGGAGAGACCATATGGAGAGACCAGCGCGGTCCTCCTGCAGCAGCAGTATATATTCCATTGTTTTGTGACCCGTGGATGGATAAATGTCCTCTATCAATAGGATGGGGTCACTAACGGCATGATTTCCAATGTATTTGATAAAGCGTTGGCGCATTAAGTTTACAAATGAATTTAAAAAATGACTAAATTACCATGAACAATGAAATAAATAAATACATACATCAATATGCAAACATATCACTGTAATGTTGTATTTTATTGAACTTCACAACACGAGCGTGCGAACATGTCGGCACTGAATGTGCGTAAGAGTGCTACTGAGGACTCGTAGGATTTGTACTTACCCAAGAGAAATTCTGCTTACAAGAAATATTCGTGAATGCCACATTCTTCGTAAAATCCTCGTAAGTAGGATTTACGCACAAATTTGTTTGTAAGAACCGTTCGTGAATGAGGCCCAATGTTTTTAACCAAACTGTAAAGCACTTTATGTTGCATCTTTTGTATGAAAAGCGCTTTATAAATAAAATTTGATTGATTGATTGAGAGTCCTGCCATGTGACCTGCACTCTGCCGCTTTACGCAGCGTTACGTCCCCTTTAACGTTCTACAATTCTTATACAAACGAGGAGATATCACAGATGAATCCACATATCATTCTGAGTGACATTTGCCCTGCATTAGTCATCTGTGCTGGTCCTGGGCTCCTGTGAAGGCTCAGCAGGCTCATGCACCAGCCTGTTGTGCACTGACCTGTATGTGGGCCACAAATCAATAGGAACATAATTACGAGGGGCAGCTCAGTGGAAGTGTGCATAATTAAAACTAATGTGAGGGAAACCTATGGCACGTGGCAAACAATGACACACCAGTGATCCAGAGGGCTGAGCGTATATGGCAATAATCCATTATCAAACCATTATGCACATTCTGATCTCAGGATTACAGCGAACGGCTTGGATAGTATTGGTCATGCAAATTGGAAGCAAGACAACACTGCTAAAGAACCAATAGAAACAAGATTCTTTCTCGAGCTGCAAGATTAATTGAAATCAAATCAATACTGCAATTTTGTGTTAGCAACTACTGCATTTTTTGTCCTTTGAAAAGTTAAAAACTGCACAAACGTATTGATAATATATTGATGTTAGAAGGTCCTATGTTCGAATTCCAGTTAGAACAGGGTTTTTTAAATAGAGTTTGCATTTTCTTCCTGCGTCTGTTTAGATTTTCTCCAGGTACTCCGGTTTCCCCTTACACTAAAAACATATAAACGGTAAAATCCTCCAGCTATGGTCCTGCCCGAGCCTCAGCATTTGGAGATGGGCCCAACTGAATTCACTCCTCGCAGAAAGACGGCATGATGTTTAAAAACTACAAACATTAGCACAGTTCAAGGAGGATCTAGCTTGAGGGTTTGGCACAATACAATGGAGAACACAGTTTTGTATATGGCCCCTGTCAGGAGCAGTGGTCGCTGTACCACTGTGTAACTTCACTTAACTTAATTAAGGAATATTTAATATTTTGCAGCTAAGAGTTTAAACCCATTTTTCTGTCTTGTGTCAGAGGTCTGTACGGTATTATAATTTCCAGTGAAGATGATATGTGAAAAAGCCGACTATTCAAAAATAAACCAAATGCAAGAATTTTATGCCAAACCAGCAACAAGTGTCTACTCATTTATCGTTATTAAAACAGGGAAAGTTTACCCTAAAAATTATTCAAAGCAAAAGTAGCTTCAGAAACCCCACAGAAAGTTTGGGATGCAAAATATTTAAGAGCTTTTCGTTCAAAGTTCAGTATTTTACAAACAGTTGTGCAAAGAAATTTTTAGATAAATATTGTACAATGTTGCTCTCTTCTAAGCAAAGGCCGACCAAAGAGCAGCCACGCCCCAAACCCAGAAATGGATAAAGCGGAAGAAGACGGATGGATAGTCAAATAGAGCCTGTTTCATTCCATTCAAGACTTTATCATCAGAAAAGTGCTCGTTATTCTAAAGTAAACTGACAATATCCAACTGCTGCATTATTAAAAGTTATTTTTATAGTGTTGTTTCCAATGCAGCTGTATCTTTCAACACAAAACAGGTAACAACCTTTAATCAGCTCACTCATCTCCAGAATTTTACCAAAACATTAGATTCTGTATCGTTTGATCCGTTTCTCTTAAAACCTCGGATCACCACAAAAGAGACGGTTGTGAGCAAGATCCGCCAAGTTCAAGTGGCCAATTGATCATTAATCCATAAATCCATATGGGGCTCGACACCAGCAACACCGTCCACATCCCTCAGGCATCTTTCATAGACTGTGACGGATCGGAACAAACCAGCCCAGAGAAGCGAGGATATGACACCGTTTAGAATGATGAAAAGGCAAAGCTACAATACACATATAATTTAGAAGGAAATGAGGTTTTAATTTTACGTCTCCAGTGAAGTGAAACATAATGTGCTCTCTTTTTGGCAGCCAGAAAGTCCATGGAGTGTTTTGTAACTAATTTATAACACTGGGTAACAAAAAAATATGTTTTGAAAATAGTCCAGGGTTTTTCAGCTGGATTAGACTAATTTTAATGCTCTGAGTCCGAAAATGACCTTGGTTTTGCTCAATCAGGTCAGGATTTTTTGCTACAGAAATATTTTTTTAAATCAATTTTGCGTAAAAAACTAATTTCTGCGGATCATCAGCTGAGAAACCCTTGACGTTTTTTTCCATTTTCAAGAAATAAAAGTCAACGTTTCCAAAGTCATTCAGTTTTTATTTACTCAAATTTGATAAGGAGAATTCAGAATAACGTAGACGTACGTAATCCGTAACACTATGGCTGTATCTCAAAAAGTTGACCTGATAGAGCAATGTGCATGTGATATTCGGACTCAGAACACCAACATTAGTCTGAATCAGCTGAGAAACCCCTGACCATTATTTGGCTGTCAACTTGTGTAATCAAACAACTGACAGATTTCTTAAGAATGAATCCACTCCTTGCAGCAACACAGCATAATGTTTGATACACATTAGCAAAGTTCAAGTAGTA